TTAAAATAAATTTACTTATTACTCCGTGTAACATCATTACGTTTAAAACCATTTAAAGAAATATTCCAACCAACATTTTAAAGTTAAAAAATATTACTTTCTTTTACATACAATAGTTTAGATAACACTGACAATATTTAGTTTTCGTTTTTGTAAGAAAAATAGTTTATTTGAGAATTGTAAAGACCATAGACACGTGACTGCTAGTGATCCAATATTTAAAGAGATGCAAGTTCAATTCACAACGATACATCTAAAAAATGTTGTTTTTTCTAGAATGCAGTACTGTCCTTTCTTTGATACAAATAATCAATTTTGACTTGTCCTGAGTTTGTTTACATTTCGCCCAAACACGTGCAGTAAATTGGTTTGTAATCTACTTTTCACTTAAAGATGGAAATGCCCGATTTTCAACGGTACCCTGGAAACATAAATCTGTTAAAAAATGTGGTGGATAAAGTCGTTTCGAAAAGTGTTTATTTTTATGAGTTTTTCTATGCTTCTTAAACAAGAAATGCGCAAGTCACTTTCTCAAAGATACCGCATAGCAGAGAAACTACATATGAAAGTGAAACATAAACATTGATGTCTAATTCACACTTGACCAGACAAAGCTTTTAAGGGTACCGTTGCCATCTTTGCATTGAGGGTCTCTTGAAATTACGCTTACAGTCCCTTTAAAGTTATTATTTTCAAAGTTTAACATGAAAGGATTGCTACACGGTTTTTGGACTAGAGTGCAACCAGGTGCCCAGAGAGGTAACATCCCTTGAAGGGGGAGGAAGGGGGGGATAGACATTTGTTACATTTTAAAGGGAGGTTTCGCGAAAAATGGAAGGGGGTATAGGTTTAATGCGATAAAAAAAACCGCGTTTGATTGCTACTGATATTACTTCTATCTGTTGCGTCAACAATTCGAGAAAATTGTTAAAAACTACTAATACCGAAGAACGTAGTGTCCATTTACATTCAGAAAGATGCAAGATTCAACTCGGATCGTAAACAAATCAATTTAATTCCAAACAAATCATTCAGATATTACAAACAATAGTCATCAATTATTTTTGGCGCATTCGTAAGTAGTTGATATTTCAAAATATTTTGTATTTTTCATGATAAATGTTTTTTTAAGATTTCCCCTTCTGTTAAGTTGCTTTAAAAATAAACATAACCAAGAAATCCACGATTTTTCTCGTTTAAATAATTAAGAAATTTCTTTATAGATTTGTTATGAGTATACACGAACTGATTGCAAAAATAAAGATAAAGAGGTAAATATGAAAATAATAAACAATCTCTTCAAATATTTCAATTTACTGACTCTAAATTGTGTTCTAAATATAGCTAGGCTACTCGTACAAACAAAGTGAAAATAGAATAAAAATAAAATTTCTGTAAGGTTTGTAGTCGAATCCCTGTAAAAGAGTGCAAAGATGTTCCGGGATCTATTTGTACAACTTTTAACAGGAAATCCAAAATTAAAATAATTTAAATATTCATTTTATTTTCTTCGTTTTTATATAATTTTTTTTTTAAATGTTAATTTTTTTTGTAATTTTCAATAATTTCAATAATNCAATTGGGGGGTAAAGAACGATTGATTGATGAAATGTTTATATATAGATTTATTATATTCTATTCTAAAATACAAAATACAACTTTTTAAATATTTACAAATTCGATAAATATATTTTTTATAATTTAAAGGAACTGGGAAATATATTTCTGAGGCTGTTGAAATTTTCTGACTTTTCCTAAATACCCTTAGCACTTCCTTTAGGTCTAAAACCGGGCTTTTCTACTGACTGCCTGAGTCCTCAGACACACTGCCTGAATAACTAATTTTTCCTGTAACAAACTTAATCTTTGTTTTAACTCATTTAGAGTTGTCTGATTTTGATCCTTTTTTTTTAGCTTTTTGAAAACCTATATGACAAACAGAAACTAATTGCAAAAGCATTGCAACATTTTGCAAACATTTTTGCATGTTTGAAATGTCATGGTTCTGGGCTTTTCAAAAATGAATCATTTTTGTACATTTTTTTGCAAATATTTTACTATCAAACTGGATTTTGCAATTTTTTTGCAGATTCTAAAAGTAGAGCATTAGAGCTTTCCAATGATGTATCATTTGTCATATTTGAAGATATAGCATGGGATTTAGAGGGGGGCCCCCCTAGCGTATCCTGGTTTTCAAGTTATCCAGCAGGAATAAAGTTAAGTGGCACATGCGATTTAAAACAGCATCTTTTAAACCTTTGTCCTAAATTAAAATCGACTTTTTTCAATTGATGGTTCTCTGAAAAGTGCGGATTTTTACAGCAGAGACAATATGAAAAAAAACATATCAATCTATAAATGGTGGGTCCTTTTAACATTTCTAAAACTTTTGCAAATAAACACATAATTTCCCAACAATAAAAAAGTAGGAACAAACTTTGTTTTAAAAAATCTAATTGTTTACAATATGAAATAATAATAGTTGGTTTTATACTTGTTATATAAGCTGTGGTTAATGTTTATAAGTATTTACAATCAGTCTCATGATTTGAATTCAAATCTTATATTTACATTTTTCTAAATTGATAAAAATTAAAAATATCTAGAAATTAACAAAAGTCCATCTCTGACCTTGTTGGGACTGCTGGAAAATCTATTTTTGAAAGGAAAATACAAAATCTGTATTATTGATACTTGAACTTTGTTTTAGAGGCGTTGATATTGGCTTACTTTATACTATGGGAACATATATAACCTCATTTTAGTAATCAAATCCAACCGCTGCGGTCAGAGGAGCGCTGCAATCAATCCAAGAAGACGCCATGACAGTTTTGTTTCAAAGGAGCAAAGAGATAAGCTCCATTTTTTTCGCGCTTCCACCCTCCTCCCTTTCACATGATCTCTTTCAGAAGAGGGGAAAAACCCTCTCTTCCACTTTGGGTCCTCCAGGTTACTTTACCCAGGGCCTGTGAACAGGGTTCACCGGCCATGGGACAGCAGTCAGGGAAAACCAGGTTGACCAGCTGGCAACAACTGGCTTGACTCCAATCAGCTGAGCTCAGTGCTCAACAACTCAACAAGCTATTCAGAGCCCGTCAGCAGTANATAGGATATAAGGGAGATTAAATCAGAGCCCGTCAGCAGTATAGGATATAAGGGAGATTAAATCAGAGCCCGTCAGCAGTATAGGATATAAGGGAGATTAAATCAGAGCCCGTCAGCAGTATAGGATATAAGGGAGATTAAATCAGAGCCCGTCAGCAGTATAGGATATAAGGGAGATTAAATCAGAGCCCATCAGCAGTATAGGATATAAGGGAGATTAAATCGACCCGGCCCGCCCTACCATATGATTATACAATATACATGCTTTGCAGACAGGGTACTCCATTTGAAAAAGAGTTTTTAAAGATCGTCTTTTACTTTTTAAGATGTGTTTTTTTCACTATACCATATTAAATAAACTAATTTTTATGTTATAAAAAGTATAAGCTTGTGTTTTTTAATGTTTTTTTGCATCCCAAAAAATGTATTTTTTTTGCGATATTCAGTCTATTTTTTTCACTGTTTAATGTAGACAATAACCTATTCTGAATACATGTACGCGGTATTTGTACATCAGAAAAATATTTCTTATTCAAATGAAGTACCGTCTACAAAGAGGGAGAGAAACCCTGGACGCCATGACCCTCTGTTATGCAGACACGAGCCTCCCAGATATGCTAGGCAGACCGAGCCTCCACTATGCAGACCAAGCCTACGCTATGCAGACCGTGCCTTCGCTATGCAGTGAACGAACCTCCACAATGACAGAACAGCTTCTTTTAAATCTTGGTTTTTATGTGTAATGGAAAATGTTAGCAATTTTATTTGACGTAGTGGCATCTATTTTAAAAATTAGTCGTCCGTGGACACCATTTTGTACACAATGAACCACCCCAGAATCCGATATTTAAAAGAGTATCGTTGAACAAAACTCTTGAGTTTCTTTTTTGGGATCTTAACAGTTTGAAGATTTTGATTTAAGAGATTCGACAAAAATGCAGAATATGAAGAAACTAAATAGAATAATATTTCATAACAAAAATATTGATATTCACAAAACTGCCTGAACGCTTCTCAACAATTGGGGGGTAAAGAACTTCAAGTAATTCATACCCCAAAATGTTAACTTTAACTGCAGTAAACAATTCTGCATAGAATTTTCTCCAAAAAATTGATATCGTAAGTAGCAACAGGATGTTTGCCTTATATCATCGTTTGCAATCATTTCTTCAATTTCTTCATCAGGATTATTCATCCCTTCTTCTGCAAACTAAACAGGCAAACAAGGTTATAATGCAAGGAAAGTTATTTCAGAGGTGTACGCATCTGCAGTGTACTGTCTCTGGGCGGTAATGTAAACACAAGACGGATGTCGAAACATGATATAGGATCCAACTTTCACATAAAAGATCAATGAAATATTCTGGTCATAGAAATCTATTCTGTAAATTATCAAAATTATCAAAATTTAATGCTTTTAACCTCCTCGGATACTAAACAAACGCTGATTCACCCATTCTTGTTTACAAATTCCGCCCGGAGAGAACTGGTTTCAATATGTACGCAAAGTATACGCAACTGCGATTAACTTTCCTTGCATTATAACCTTGGGTGTAAGTATGTAGAAGTAAGCAAGTAATTTATTTACAATATTTAACGAAAAACTGTTTGTGTAAAAATATCTTAAAACCTACAAAATAGAGGTTTTATGAATATCCCACCACTAAAAAATAAAATAAGTAAGTGACAAACAAATTTTTTAAATTTAAAAAATAATTGGTGGTGGATTGTAGGCCTTTTTGACGATAAATTCCCATAATAAAAGTAGATATAATATGCATTAAAAGAAAATTCAAACAAGAGACAAATTCATCAACGACGACATTTTTTACCTTTTCCTCCTTTGGGTTATTTTCTTCATAGGTTTCCCGTTCCGGGTCACTTAAACAAATACTAGCCTGATCATCACTCTATATACGATAACCTCATTGGTTAAATCAAAGAAAATAAATACTTGAACATGTAAATAGTAAATTGTAATTGATAATTGTAAATGTAAATTGTAAATTATACAGAGTTACCAAAAAAAACAGAGATTAGGGATATTCAGCTCTCTTAATAGTTAAAAAAGGCGCAAAAGATGCATTAGGCTTGGGCCTTTTTAAGAAAAATTATTACAGAAATTTAATAATAGTATTTTTTATTGTAATTTCTAAACGTATTTAATATATACTTTTATAGAACAATACAAATTATAAATTGTTCAACTTTAACAGATAGGTTTATTAAATATTCGAAATAATTTTGCGTCAAACGCTAATCCTTTTTTTTGGGTCACCCAATACATTTAAATTGTAATTTGTAGATTTCAAATCTTAAATGTAAATTGTTTGTGTAAGAAAAAAATGTACTTATAATTTTAATTCTGAACATGAGCTCTACTAAGTACATAGTTATTTAGTTAGATATTTAAGCCAAACTTTTTTAAAACTTATAACATCTGTAGCTTCGATTCTAATCTAAATTCACACTCTTCTGAATAAAGATATTTTGGGAATGAGAAAAGGAATTGAGTCTTAGTCACAAACTCTGATTTTATAATCCCTTTTTCTTTGGAATCCAATGTCGTAAATCTTTTATATTTCAAACTTATATCATTTGATCTAACAGAATTCATAGTTTGAAATATCTGTGGTGGCATTGGAATCCAAAGATAAAGGATTTAGAAAAGAAGATTTTGTGGCAAAGACTCAATTCCTTTGTCCAAACACCCTAATACTAATTTAAATCCGAGGATAGAGATGTTTATAACAGTACATTGTTCTTACAGACCCTTACCAATGTATGTAGCCTTAGTTAAATAATAAAAAAAAACATTTAAATTTCAGAAATTACATAATAATGTTGGATTTATTGTTTAACCTTATTCTGGTTTTACCCTAGCTTGGAATTTATTGCCAAGTATTGCAAAGCTATAAAATTTATGCTTTTGACACTGAGTCTAATAAAAATGTCATAAAAACATTATTTCTAAAGCAAAATTTTCCTGTTTTCAATAATAGAATGTTTGTAAAATTGAAAGTTTTAAAATTCAGACCAAAAACTTTTATATAAGTGCAAAGACTGATAATAAAAAAATCAGGTTGTCAAAAACCGGTTCTAAAATTAGGAAAAGAAAATCAGGATGTCAAAAACCGGTTCTAAACAAAGTAAAAAAAACAGGTTGTCAAAAACCGGTTCTAAAAAAAGAAAAAATTAGGCTGTCAAAAACCGGTTCTAAAAAAAGGAAAAAAATCGGGTTGTCAAAAACCGGTTCTAAAAAAAGGAAAACAAATTAGAATGTCAAAAACCGGCTCTAAAACAAAGAAAAAAACATCAGGTTGTCAAATACTTTTTGTGTTTCGCGATTGTTTCTTTAATATTTAAGATTCAAAAATGAAATTAACCATTTAATTAGAAAACGAACCATGGATTCTCTTTGAAACTTCAACTACCCAATTTTAATGAAGAAATTCATGTTTTTCACTCTGAAAATGAATCATTTTAATTAAAGTTCTCAATAACAGTGCCTTTCAGATTTATGCAGCATGAAAAGGCAGGAAATCATAAGAAAAAAGACAAAACAATGCGTACTGCAAAGTTCAAAATATACTCATTGTATCGTAAAAGAATTAAGTCTATGGAACAAAATCAAATATTTAAACCTCAATATCTTTAGAACTCGATATTGTAAACCTTTGATATTTCAATCTCAGATTATTTGATCTAACAGAATTCATAGTTTAAAATATCGAAGGTCTGAAACATTTGGTTCCAAAGATATAGTGATTAGAAAATCAGAGTTTGTGGCAAAGACTAGATTCCTTTATCAATTGGTACCCATTTATTCCATCACCCGAACGTCAATGGTATGTAAACCTTTATGTAAACCTTTTAGTTTTGTTTATTTTCGAATTAAATTATATACTTACTTAAAAATTGTATATTTGTATATCTAAAAATATGTATTTGTATATTTGTATATCTAAAAATATGTATTTTTCCGATGAAAAATTTGTCCTGAAGAAATAAATACTACTACTCTTCATCCATTCTTAAACTACGTGACTGTGAATCTAAAGATACCTATTCTTTATTTTAGGATTTGCCCGATATTCACTCAACAGACATTTTAAACTTAAAATAAAGGGCCATTGGAAATGTTTTTTGGCAGTCTCTTTTATATATCTTGGTCAAAATCTAATCAATATAGCAATTAAGAAGGAAAACTTTTTGCGACCAACTTTGCTTTTTATTATTCTTAAAAGTTTTCAACACCCTCCCCCACCCCTATCACTCCCTCCCCTCTTCCCAGTGTCGTATTGACAACTATTGTGGAAAGTTGCGAATTTTTCTTCAAGTTTACGATTAGATTCTCCAGAATCCATTCTCTAATTTGTTTTACCTGATCTCCATTTTGTTTATTGATTCAATCTCCTTCCGAGATATTTTCTTTTTCGGAGAGTTCATTCGTTTCTTTGGAGAACCTTGGATGAAAAAGTAGAATCACAAGTTTTATTATCAAGTTATAATATCTAGAACTTTACTCAGAGAACAACACGAAACCTTTCTAATTGTATTTTTTATTATAAACCTGTTACGCTGGCAATTAGTTAATTTTTTATTATAAACCTGTTACGCTGGCAATTAGTCAATTTTTATTATAAACCTGTTACGCTGGCAATTAGTCAATTTTTATTATAAACCTGTAACGCAAGGAATTAGTAAATTTTTATTATAAACCTGTTACGCTGGCAATAAGTAAATTTTTTATTATAAACCTGTTACGCTGGCAATTAGTCAATTTTTATTATAAACCTGTTACGCTGGCAATTAGTGAATTTTTATTATAAACCTGTTACGCTGGCAATTAGTAAATTTTTATTATAAACCTGTTACGCTGGCAATTAGTCAATTTTTATTATAAACCTGTTACGCTGGCAATTAGTCAATTTTTATTTTGTTTAAGACTTGTTTACTTCTTGCACTAAGTTTACAAGTGTCTATTATAAAGATATTCAGGGTTACCCACAAAGGATGAGACTTCAGAGACGACTATACGAAATGTTTGCCGTCTGTTTCTATTTATAATTCCCTGCAACTGTAAACTTATTTCTTTCTTTGCTTCATCATAAAATAAGATATAAAAAACAAATTATTTCAAGTATGAAGACTTAATTTAACCTTAGCATTGTCATATTTACAGAGTTTTAAGTCTTTAAGTTTTAACACTTATATCAGAAAAACCTTGGATCTCTCGATAAAAAAAACATATTAAAACAACATTCATAAACTTAATTAAAACTCAGATTCATTTGCCAAATTGTTTTCAAAAACTAAAGTTTTTTTTCGAAAACTGTTGTGTCGTTGTTTTCTTTTCAGTTTTTTAAAAGTTCAAAATGAGTGGTTTGTTATAGTTGTAAGTATGACACATCGTTTTTACTAAAAATGATACAACGGGTTTTGCAAAAAAAAACACGTTTTCAAAAACTATTAACACCATTACCGGTGTTTTTTTTCTAAATTTTATCTGACCCGTAAATTTTGCATTTCTACATGAGCTACAATAGTGTTTTCTTTGAACTTACTGACCTGGGGGTGGCTTTTTTCCTTTTCGTGCAGATCCTGGTGGTTTTCTTATTTACTATCTGCTTAACTCAAGAGTTCTTGTTATTATGCAAGAGTATTATGATGGTAAACTAGAGTTCCTGGTGGTTTTCTTATTTAGTATCCCTTAAACTCAACAGTTCTTGTTATTATGCAAGAGTATTATGATGGTAAACTAGAGTTCCTGGTAGTTTTCTTATTTAGTATCCCTTAAACTCAACAGTTCTTGTTATTATGCAAGAGTATTATGATGGTAAACTAGAGTTCCTGGTGGTTTTCTTATTTAGTATCCCTTAAACTCAACAGTTCTTGTTATTATGCAAGAGTATTATGATGGTTTTCTTATTTACTATCCCTTTAACTATAAAACAGTGTTTCTTTGGTATAGCTATTTTAAACTAGATTTTTATTTTATTTTATTACTTTAATCTACCGCTTTCCAACCGAATAAAGATTGATTGATTTTGCTAAAAAAATAGTTTTTTTGTTGTCAAATTATAAATCCAATAATTTTTATTGAGATCTTTGTATATTTATTGTAGAATCAGATATTTCAAGTTTTATTTCTGAATTCTTGGATTTGTCCAGTAGTAGACTGTAGACAATTCCAACTATAGATTAACAACAATACAGATTGAACTTTAAATATCGGCTTTTCAAGTTTAGGGTTTTTTTTTCTTTCACAACACCTCTGAGTCAGAAGCTCAAAGGTGTTACGTGTATACATGACGAGTTGAATGACATGACAGAGAGAGAGCTTGCGCGTAACTGCTTTGAGCTTCTCCCACGAATATATTGTGAACGAAAAACCACTAAATCTTGAAAATACTTGTTTTCTATCTGTATTGTTATTAATCTATGATTCAAACCTTGGTTTTAAACCTTGCACGTTTTCAGACACAATATTGTATTTTACTTGTAAAATATAAACACTGAGAAACCTTAACTTGAATAAATGTTTTTCATTATTGCATTTTAAAATTGAGTTTTTAGTGCATTATTAATACAAATATGTATACAAATTTATCGCGATTTACGTCTGAAAAGTTTAAAAAAACTTTCGTTAGCCTTTTTTAGGTTAATGCATAAGGAACAAGAGCTGAAAACTTTAGAATGGGATTGGGATATTCATAATCCCGATCGTTTAATTAATCTGGAGATTAATAACAAGAGGAGAACAAGCATTATTTAATCTTGAGATTAAGAAAAAGAGTGGATCAAACATTAATCCCGATATCCACCATTCTAAAGTTCCCAGCTGAGTTTGATTAAAGATGTTTTCATCCCAGCGAACAGAACTAGTATTCCATTGTTATGAATAAGTTGACTTTAAAGTCGACTTAAAGTGCATAATATAAGTCCACTTTAGATAACTAGTTCACAAACTTGGATCAAAACTGGGATGAAAAAGTCGACTTTTTCATCCCAGTTTTAAACTAGTCACAAAATTATAACAAAATGTCGTGCAAAAGCCCACTTTTTATCCCGGTTTTGAACTTTTGTTCATGAAAAAGTGGAGTTTCAAAGTCGAGAAAATGTTGACTTTAAACGTCGAGCTCAAGTTAATTTAAGTCGACTTTTCATGTCAACTTTTGAACTTTTTATGTCAACTTTTTGAACAGATTTTTTTAAATTTAAACATTTTTGAATTGAATCTTTCAAGACGGATTTTTTTATCAATATTATTAATTATGAAAAAAAAATATTTGTGCTTGCACTAATGGTTTGTTTTTTACAAAAAAATAATGCACGCTACAAAAATTTGAAAATGAGACACGTTAACATAAAAGGGTTTAAACATTTTCATAAAAGGATGCCAAATGTTTCAACGTCTAAAAGTCAAAAGCGATATGAAATCGCAGCTTAAAGTCGAGTTTTGGAACGACTATTAACGAGTTTAAGTTGAGTTTAAGTCCACTTCTGGGAGTAAAAAGTTGAGTTAAATTCTCCTTCTACGAGTAAAAAGTTGAGTTAAAGTCGAGTTTAAGTCGACTTATGTTTGTTGGGATAAAATGACCAAATTCAGATAACTTGATCAATATTAAGTGGTAACTTAAAAAGTTGTGAAGAAGGGTATCAACTATGCTAAAATATCTTAGAGGTCCAGAATAAATAGTTATCTAGGACATTCATAAGCAGTAAGATTGGTTTAAAGGTACTATAAGCGTAATTTCACGTGACCCTCCATGCAAAGAAGGCAATGCCCGATTTCCAACATTACCCTTAAAACCATGACTGATCAATGTTGTGAGACTTATTTCTCGAGATTCTACAAAAAAGTGTTTAATTGTTGAACACTTTTTTCGTAAGCTGCTTTAAGTTTTAAGAATATTAATATTTGCAATGTCAAGAGATAGCAGAAAGTAAATATTTTCTTTCGAATTTTCGAAGACCGTTTTTAATGTAAATTATTCGGAAATCTGGGTTAAGGTCAAACGTACTCCGCTTTTTACAGGAATTTAAGTGGTTTTAAAGATATTTAAAAAACATCTCTCTTTACTGGATGAACAAACATAGGTTTTACAGGTTACCGCTGTTTATTGGGCATTAGAGGGTTACTTGATATTATACTTACAGTCCCCAACACTCTTCTTACCTTTGCCTCTGTCTTCTTTTCAATTGGTAGTTGTTTTGTTCGTTTTACAGGACTTCGTCTGGACTTAGTGGGACTTATACTTCGAGAAACTTCTTTCAGGTTTAAACTTCCTTTTACATTCGATCCATCTAACACAGAGAGAGAGTATATAGAAATCCTGAGAGCATATGCAAAATTGCCGCTGTAGTAAATCTAACCAGATGCAGCTAGGGATGGGCAGTTTTGACTTTTTTTGGAAAGAAAACGATAATTATGGAAACGGTCGTTTTTGAAAACAACCGTTTTAGAATAAAAACGACAAATATGGAATATTTGAATGACAAATAATTAAAGAATCTACAAATTGATCCCCTGCCTCGATCTAACAATCATTCAAAAATATCGCTTTAAACAAGAACATTTGTTTGAATAAATTTTAACCAAAAATGATTGTTTTTGATAAAAAACGAAAGTTTTGTCCGTTCGTTTTTCGTTTCAGAAGCATAAGCTAACACTTGGTTAGTTTTAACAAATAGTTTTTATTAAAAACGAATGTTAGGGAGTTGTAAAAATCCAAAAACTAATAACGATAGTTCTTCCGATTGTTTTTGAAAACGATTCCCATCCCTAGATGCAGGCATCCTATTTGCGCTAGCTATTCATGCATACAGACGTTGGTCAATTATAGAGACCCCTGCCGTATGTCTGCCAGCGTAGTAATGTAGTGGGTGTACTGTTCAGGGTAGTTCAAACTAGAACCGTAATGGTTGGTTTAGATCAGATTCCAATGTACATGAGTTGAGTGTGGGTGGAAACCATAGATTAATAAAAATAACAAATATGACACCATAGTGGTCTCTTCAAGATTTGGATTAAACTCGTTCACAATAACCCTGAGGCAGAAGCCCGGAGGAATTTAGCGTAGCCGGCGTAGAACAAGCTCTCTCTGTCTTTTAATTCTTCGCTGACTGCGCGAAACTCCTCTGGGCTTCTGCCTTAGGGTTATTGTGAACTAGTTTCATCAAAATCTTGAGAAGACGACATCTAATGTCCTATCTGTTATTTTAATCAATGGTTGAAACCCTAACACTTTCTTTGTAATATCGAACTGCGACTAGTTTTGCGAACATTTTGTTAAAAATAATGAACGGAATGTTACCGATAACATTCTTAATTTGCATAATTTGGATATTCAACCACTCTAAAAAATTGCATGATCTGAGCCGGTACAACCGTACTATATTTTCATTCAGTCTTACAGTCCAGTCTGGACTACCCAGTGAAGAGTACGTTTTATACAACAAATATTGCCTGCATCATGATGACAATGTATTACGCACAAAATGATAATGGTTCTGTTAGTAAAGTAAAGGTCGGGATGGATTCGAATTAAATGTTTTTGTGACGCTGAATAAGTTTTAGTTGTGGTAAGTGCTAAGTGTCATGATTAAGAGCACTGATCCAACAAAAAGCTAGAATATCAACTTGGTTTTACAAGTCTGGCTAGTTTTATAAAGAACAAAAATTCATAGGAAAAAATTAGAATGGAATTATAAATTAAATAATAACATGAAAACCGTTCTTGGAGTTTGAACAGCAGACATGCTAATTCAATTCAGTTTCGTGTGTTATATTAGATTTTTATTAAGATCCAGATTGAATTGTTTTGGTTGTGTAAATATCTTATTATTTTTATTTTTAAAAAGTTAACTGCCCAAAATTTACCCTTTAAAGCCACACAAAGCAATGGTACAATATCCATTAAAAAGTTATAACGATTGTTCCGTAAATCAATTTCAACATATTGCCGCTACTTTTGTTTAGCTTCTGGTAGATTAATCTCAAGTGAACCTACTCAAGTTTGAATTAGATATCCATGTTTTGTTTCTTTAAACTGGTTACTTTCTTTTGTGGGTTCTCTGCTGAATTGACTTGCACATTTCTTTCATGTAAGAGACAATGAAGAAACTCACAGAAATAAACACTTTTACAGTTAGAAAAACGACGGTATCTTCCACATTTTTGATCAGAATATGTTTTCAAGGTTACCGTTAAACTCGGGCATTGTCATCTTGGCATGGTGGGTCACTTGAAATTACGCTTACAGTTCCTATTACAGTTTCAGGAACGAAGCGTGTAATATATTTCTCGCCCTGGATTTGATCCTAAAAAGAATGTTTTTACCTATTGAGCTTGTGGAAGACTGCTCTCCGTTAAACCTCTCTGGTTCTTCCATTACACTAAACAGAAAGATTATAACTTTCGCATTTCAAAAAATAGTTTTAATTTAGAAAAAGCTTGAAAATTTAACAAAATGTTATTGTAACAATTAAGCCAAAATAATTTTCTAAGCTCAATGTTTTTAAAGGAATGTTTCTCAAAACTGGGACATTTTTTTAGTGACACCCTAGCGAGGGGAGGAAGGCCAGCCACAACAACTTC